CTGTTCTTACAGAAGACCCGCGTTTGAATCCCGCACCCACATGGCAGCTAACAACTGTCCATAACTCCAGTCCCAGGGGATCTGACAGCCACTTCTGATCTCCACGGGCATTGCACAACACGGGTGCACTTACTGACATGCAGGCAATACACGCATACACATAAAATAAAAATAATAAAATTTAAAAAAAAACTGGCAATGGTAACCTATATAAAATAATAAAAACTTCATCCACTCCAAAAAATAAATAATTTAGCTGCTAAATCAAAGCAGAGCCTTCATCAACAACTGGTCACAGAAGCATAGACCCTCCGTAAGGAAAGTTGGGATAGACTGAACATTTTAAATAAATCTACCTTACTGCTCAAGGCTGTAATCCAGGTGCAAACAGCTGCCCAGTGCTCGTTAGTGCTGAGATTTTGTTTCTGAGCTGCCTAAGCTTGTTTCACTCTGTGGTCAAATGCATTCTTAGATCCAGGCAGCTGTGAGCATTTTTTCTGTGCATAGTAATGCAGAGGGAAGGATCTAGAAATGCAAAATTGCACAAGCAGAGTCTCATGGAATTCCTTGTTACAGGGAATTCTGTGAATAGAATACCAGAAATAAAAGTGACATTTTCATTTGATGATCATAACAAAATGGACTGCACACCCACTATGCACCAGGTACCAAGGCAATTAATTTCTTTTACCCACTTCATATTAAACAATTCTATCAGGTGATGGCAGTCATCCCTTTTTTATAGGACATCTGAGGCTGAGTCACTAACTCAGGATTGCAGACAGCTAATCAAGAGTCAAGAAGTAAGAGTGCCCTTAAAGCTTATATTCTTAATAACTATGCTGTGCTGACATAGAGCAGAAAAATAAGCATCCTAAATATAATAAAAGCATGTCCAATATTTTATTCTATGATAGTTATCCTATGAACTGTGGTGTCACATAGAGATAGATTAGATAGGTAGGTGACAGATAGATAGATAGATAGATAGATAGATAGATAGATAGATAGATGATAAAAATGATAGAAGATAGATGATAGTTAGATAAATAGATAGATAGATAGATAGATAGATAGATAGATAGATAGATAATAGATAGATAGATAGATAGATAGGCAGATAGTAGATAGTAGATAAGTTGTTCACTGGTAGGTAGTCTCCAAATCTCCATGCTTATGTTTCTTTAGAGTAGATAGTAGATAAATTGTTCACTGGTAGGTAGTCTCCAAATCTCCATGCTTATGTTTCTTTAGAGGAAAACCCTTAAAACAAGGGTCACTAAATATTATCTGGAAAAAAAAAACAGATTTGTTCAGGTTTTGTGAGCTAAAAGATCTTTATTATACTTAGCTCTGGCATAGGAGTATTCACGGAACCAGTACAAAAGTAATAGGCAAACTATGCTCTAATAAAATTTTATTCATGGACACTCAAATCTGAATTTCAGATAATGGTCATATACCATGAAATAAAACTTTTTTTCCTTCAGGCATCAAAAATTATAAAGACTGTGCTTAGCTCCCCAAAAGTCCAACAACAGGTGGTGGGGCTGATTTGGCCAAGGGACTATAATGTGTTAACCTTGGCTTCAAAGTATTCGGAGATCATATGTATCACATACACATAGAATGTTTCCCCAAATTCTAATCATTTAAATTATCTCTTCAAAATCCATTTGATTGTTTGTTTTTAAAATGTGTAAAAATACACGTGAAATAGCCATTATATCCTGAAACAATTCATCATCTTTTGCTGTGTAATTCCAGAATTCTCTTACAGAAACAAGTCATTTTGTCTGCATGTGTCATTTATCTTTGTTGAGAATTTTAGAACAGACTGTTTCTTTCTATGGCCTAAAAATCATTTTCTAAGAAAAATCTGTGCTTATGATAGACAGTTATGATTGATAGTTAATCGAGATGACTTGAAGTACTCAGAAAAATAGTGTTGTTTCCGTATGACCTACAAGGAAAGGGGCCTTGTACCTGTGTGTGGTGAAGGTTTGATACCCAGCCTTCTTTGTTTGCAGTCGTGACACATCATTCTCAAACTTCCTCTGAATTCTGTGCTAACAACTGCCTTAATTGATAAATATGTGGTTGGAAAACAAAGTCACCTTTTGGTTTCTGTTTGCAAATAACTTGGAAATATTGAGAAAATCCTTATAGACTGGAAGTACACTCCGAGGCTGAGCAAGAGCTCAGAGGATTGTGGTTGACAGAAAATAATTTTAAATTGGAAATAAAGTGAAATCAAGAACTGATAATGCTACAGAGACCTGATGATTGAAAGACTATTTCTGAGCATTTTTATGTGTGTAGTTATTACGCCATACCAAGTAATAGATACAAAACCACAAGAGCTCTGTTTTTCTCTCCTTTTTTAATCTATCTAAACCCAAGTGCTGAACAAGCCTTATTAATTATGAATTTTCTTTCTGATGAATCGCCTGATCTGTCCTTTGGCTCCATTACCACTGCCTCACCTCTTTTATTACTGAACTTCAATCTCTCCATTTCCTTTCTCAACCCAGCTAGCAAAGGTCTTTTCTAGCTAGTCATGATGGCACAGCCCCAGCCCCAGCTCTCAGGGGACTGAAGCAGGACTATCAGACCATCAGGCCAATGAGGCCTGCTGAGACAGCTCAGGATAAAAGCACTTGCTATGACGCCTGACGACCTGAGTTTGAACAGGAACACCTGGTAGAAAGAGAGAATTGACTACTGAAAGTTGTCCTCTGTCACATACACACACAGACACACAGACACACACACACACACAGACACACACACAGACACACAGAGCTGTAATAAATAAATTTTAAAAATTGGTCATGATGACTCACATTTGTAATCTCAGCACTTGGGAGGCTGAGGCAGGAGGGTTGCCATAGGATCAAAGCAAGCACGTGCTACAAAGTGTTTTAGGACAGCCTGGGCTAAAGTGTGAGACCCTATCTCAAATAAAGGGACAAACAAATAAACATGTCATTTCCAGGGTTCCTCAAATGGTTTCTTTCAGGCTGTCTGCTACCTGCACTGATTATCAGCACTCAAGCATATTCAGCTTCCCAGCACGGGGTTCCTCCAAATGTCTTTCCACAGTTTTCTTACCCCTTCCTATCTCCCAACTTCCCAGTTTATACTCCCATAACACCAACTTGCTTCTAGGTTCTTCTGGATACGTGTTGTTCCTTACATCTTTCAGCATGTGTTGTTCGCTCTTCTTGGAACCATCTTCCTCCACACTGACCAGAAGGAAAATTCCTGACCATCCTTTATAATCCTGTTCTCTTGTAACCCATCCCAGAGGTCTTCTTTGGTCACTTTCTCATATCTCTGCTGTGTAGATATTGTTTCTTTGCATCACCTTGTGATGTTCTGTATGATTACTTACCTGTATGTACTGAAAAACTGGGTACTCCTTCAGAAAGCTACTGTCTCCTTCCCAGAACCTAACGCAATGCCCAGCATTTGGCAAATACTAAAAAACACTTATAGCTAAGCATGGTGGCTTATACCTGTAATACTAGCAGTCAGGAGGCTGAGGCCGGCCGGAGGATCACAGTGAGTTTAAAGCCAGCATGAGCAACATAGTAAGCGCCTGGCCAGCCTGGACGACAGATTGAGACACTGTTTAAAAAACAAAACAAAAATGAAAACCCAGCAACTTACAGAATTTGTTAATGTAAAACACAGTTCTTACTCCAGAGGGAATTAGAAATAGTTTACCCTGAACAAAATATGAGTGACCATGGCCCCAGAGATATGGATTCAGGTTTTCCTGAATGACATTTTCTGTCATAGAAGTTGCTACAAGAACTTTTATAATCACAGAACAAAAGATGGTCATAAGTCAGTGCATTTTTCAAGTACATCAGAAACAGCATGTCAATAGGTTACAGCGAAGTATAGAAAACCATTCCAGAAGCTATCTAATAGCATTCTCAGCTTTTGAGTTGGTGAAAACTAGTAGCTTGCTACACATTCTAAAGATTTTATCTGTTAGCCAAGGGGGATCTTAGGTCAGAAACAGGAGTGATAAATAGCTATTAAGGGGTAGCTACTTTTTGTTGGTGTGATAAAACACTATGGCCAAAAGCTACTTATGGAAGAGTTTATTTGGGCTCACGGTTCCCAAAGAAGAGTCCATAATGACAGGAGTGGCATGGCAGCAGGCAGCCAGAGCAGGAAGGTGAGAGATCACATTATCAACCACATAGAACTCAGAAAAAGTGAACTAGAAGTAGGACAAGGTTATAACTCTCAAAGTCCACCCCCCCATAATGTACTTACTCCACAAAGGCACCACATACTAAAAGTTCCATAAGATCCCCGAGCAATGCCACCAAATGTGCAAATACCTGAGTCTACTAGGGACATTTATCATTCAAACCACTGCATTCCATTGCCTGGCTCTCATAGGCTAATGGTCATCTTATGATGTAAAATGCATTCAGTCTAACTTTGAATGGCCCCATAGTCTTCAACAGTCTCAACATTGTCCAAAGGTCCAATATCCAAAGTATCTTTCAAGACTCAAGGCACTCTTAACTGTGAACCCCTGTAAAACCAAAAACAAATTACGTATTTTAAATATACGATGGCACAGAATACACATTCCCATCTGTGCTAGATGGCTTTAGTTCTCAACTTGACACACCTGGGTAGAGGGAGCCTCAATTTGGGAATTTCCTCCATTGAACTGGCCTGTGGCCATGTCTGTGGAGCATTTTCTTAATTCTTGAGTGATGTGGGAGGGCCCAACCCACTGTGGGTGGTGCCACCCCTGGGCAGGTGGTCCTGGGTTGTATAAGAAAGCAGGCTGGCATAACTCCGGTTCTAGGGGACTCGACCCCCTCTTCTGACCACCATGGGCATTTCACAACATGGATG